TAGGGTTAGAATGAATGTATGGAGCACAAAGGATTTTTAGGGCAGTGAAACTACACTATATTGTATTATAATGAGGGGTGTGTATCATTATACATTTGTCCAACTGTATATAATGTACAACGAAGAATGAACCCAAATATAATCTATGAACTTTGGGTGATTATGGTGTGTCAACGAAGGTTCATCTACTGTAACAAATGCACCACTTGGGGGAGTGTTGCATGTATGGGGACAAAGCGGGTATGGGAAATCTCTGTATCTTCCGCTCAAATTTGCTGTGAGCCTAAAACTGCTCTAAACAAAAGTTTAAAAAAAACATAATTAGAAGAATTTTTACTTGGGTAAGTTTGGATTTAAATTGTGCCAAACTCTGAAGAAGCTTCCAGGCCAAATTTCCAGGAACACTGTAGAAATTTTGTGGGCTAAATGGAACACAGACGTGCAGCCAGTACATTTGGGCATGTGTGACAAGCATGCTTCAGAAAGACCTCAACCCACGCTGTGCTCCTATAAATTAATGTTCCCATTGTAACTGACTCATTTGACCAGATCAGTTCATATGCCTCTGCAAGTAGAGAAAAGTGTAATAAAAAAGGGGAAATATGAAAGGCATTTAAAGGCTGAGTAGTTAACTTTATACTTAGTTAATCATTGCATATGTTTTTTAAGGGCCACCCAACTTTTTGGAGAAAGAAAAACAGGGTAGAAAGCAGTCTAAGGGTTGAAATTATTATGTGCAGGATTTCTGTAGGATGTTTAATCTACATGCCTTATCTCCATCTTAAACCTTTATTTTATCCAAAACTTAAGTGGCCCAATCAACTTGCCTCCTCCTCCCCTCCCTGTCTCTGTTGTTTTTTTCCCCCCACAAGTATTTATTGAACATCTATTACATGGCAGGCACTGCTCAAGACATTGGTTTTTGTGCCAAAATAAGTTTAAAGTTAACCCGCTTCATTTGCAGTTCTCTCGCCCACATCTTGTACTGTGCATAAGATCCATAAAGGAATATGGTAGCAGTTAGATACGAGCACAGCAAGGACAATGGGCCAGGTACAGAAAAGGTTACAGGGCAGAAAGTCCCGGGATGCCTAGCAACTGACAAAACTGGAAAGCAAGGAGCGCACCCCCAGTGTGACCTTTCTTCCCTGTAGCATATTTCTACCTATGTGGTGTTGACCCCCTGACCTTTCATACCGCTGGTCCTGTGGTTTGGACCTTCCTCTGACCTTCCTCCCCTGGCATGTTGCTTGTCATGAGGGTTAGACCTTTTCTGGCGGAGGGCACTGAACAAGGGGGCGGGAAAATACCCCTTAAGCATTAAGCTCCCAGGACAGTGAGGTTCTGACCTGCATCAAATACATCTGGGCCTCGTTTGTGTTTCAGCTCCAGGCCCAGAAAAGCAGCAAAACTATACAAAAGGCACCATGGCTGACCTCAGGACCAACTGTGTTGACTAATGACCTACCTTGGTGCGCACACTCTCTTTCTCTTTCTCTCTCACTTTCCACCTCTTTCTCCACTCCCTTCTCAAGGTATGTTTTCCTTGTCTCGTTCTCCTGCGCTCCCAGGACCCTTCTTTTCCTTCTGTAACTTGTTTCTTGAGTCCATTTCTTCTATAGCTCACTTCCTCTGCCTCTATGACTTTCTAAATTGTGGATGAAAAGGGGCCACATTCAAAACCTGAGAGCTCAGGGGGGCCTGCATGATGGCCTTACAAACTCAGAGGCTTAAAGTAACCACATAAGAGGTCTGAAACTAAAAGCAGGTCATGGCAGGCAGTAAGGTCCTAGGCTAGAATCTCCCCCTGACAAAGTCAATCTTTACCTTAATTGAGCCTGTTTATTGTCATTTTGCATCTAAAATAGAATACCTTTGGAATGTTAAATTTCCTTTTCCTGGATCCCTCACAGCAGAGGCACTGCACCAGAGGGAGGCTACAAATCCTCTCATTGTTATTGTTACCATGTTAATTCTTGACTGTTAATTATCCTGTACCCACCTTTGTCAAAAAAGCATATGTCTATCATTTTACTTTTTATGCAACCCAGAAGTAACCCTCTCCCCAACTTTGCTTTTTCCTGCCTCCCTAATGGACTTCTTGTAACCCACTTACGTCTTCTCTTTTGATTGTAATGTATAAAATAAGGTGCAAAACTGCCATTTTCTGGAGCATTTTCTCAGTCTGTTGAGGTTTTGCTTCCTAGCAATTGGTATCAGTTCGGCTCAAATTCTTACAGGTTTAAATGTTTCTTACCATGACAAAATAAACTTTCTATTGTAGTTTGAGTCTTGACTCTGAATTCTTTCTTAGCCAGAACTCAAGAACTGAGGTTGCTGAAACAAGGTCTGGTCTGACTCCAACAGTGTCATGCCTGGTGCCACTTCCCTATTAAAAGGAATATTTATTGAAAATGCAGATTCCTGGTCTTAAACCCGGAGCCAGATTCAGAGGTTTGTTATAAGCCTGGGCATCTGCCGTTTTAACCAGCACTTCAAGTGATTTGAGAGAATAATATAACTTGACTTACATTTTTAAAAAGATATCTTTATCAATCTGTGCATCTAGTAATTTGGTGTGTGGGTGCTCAGACTCTGCAGATTTTTATCTCTCTTTAAGAACTCTGGAATCAGGCTCTCTGTTCTCACTTAGACTGCTGCTAGCTATTGGTCAAATTAGTCACTACTGTGTGTTTCTAATCTGTGAAGGTATGTGGGAATCAGAATTTCTACATCAGAAAGCTATGTGCAGGTTTAGCAAGTAAAGCATGTACAGTATCGCGAGCATAGAAGCAAGTGCTCAAAAAATATAAATTATTATTGTGATTATCATTATTATTGGTAGTAGTTTTACTATGACTTCCTTTTAGAGGGAAGAGGAATAAGTCAAAGTTTTACTTACAGCAAATGATCAGGTTCTGGGGCATGACTAGATAGATGATTGTTTCAAGAGTTATAACTGCTTTTATTATCTGGAAATCAGGCAGATGTCAGTGTGTCAGTACTGTTAAAAAGAAAACCAAAATGGCATCATTTACTCTAGAAGCCCATGATACCAATCCTAGATTTAATGTCTAATCTAATTGCAGTTTCAACCTTTCCTAGAAATGTAATCTTGATTAACCAGTCTGGAGTTTTCTGGTAAGAACCATTGAGGTAATCTTCCGGTAGAATCTCTGTCCCCCACAGAAAGACGAGACAATCTGCATGATAAATATCCTTCCCTCTCTAAAAAAAAAAAAATTCCTGGCCCCAAAATAATTTCTTTTCTTTCACTAATAGCTCCCTTGCTCCACCCTGCTTCCTATAAAAACTTCTCATTTTGTATAACTCCTCAGAACGCCCTTCTAAGTTGCTAGATGGGATACTGCCTGATTCATGAATCACTTAATTAAAGCCAATTAAATCTTCAAATTTACTGTTAAATTTTGTTTTTTAATAGTACTAATCATTTTATTTTATTTTAATTTTTTTAAAAGATTTTACTTATTTATTTTTAGAGAGGGGGGAAGGGAAGGAGAGAAGGAGAGACATATCCATATGTGGTTACCTCTCATATACTCCCTGTTGTGAACCTGGCCTGCAACCCTGGCATGTGCCCTGACTGGGATTCAAACCTGTGACTCTTTGGTTCACAGGCTGGCACTCAATACACTGAGACACAACAACCAGGGCATAATCATTTTATTTTACACTTTCCAGGTGTTGACTTATTAAATTCCTGGGTAGTATGTGCTATCATTGTTGCTGCTCTGAGATTTTTCTCTCATTGCTTATTTAAGGGGGCGGGGGGAGGAAAAGGGAAAAAGAAGGCTTACTTTTGGGCTCAGGACATATTTTCTTTGGGGGAAAGGGAGTAGGGAAGGGATTTTCATTATGCCGATGGCCTCTTTTCTATGGAGGATTTCCCGGACCCATGTAACAAATTATTGCTACTTGACCAGAAAATTCCAGTCTGGTTGATTATGTTTCTGGGAGAGTTTGAAATTGCAATTAGATCAAGTATTAAATCTAGGTTTGGTATCATGGGCTTTTAGCATGAATGATGCCATTCTGGGGCTGTGGTTTTTCTCTTTAAGAAGAGAAAAAGGCTGAAGCAAACAAAGGAAATTATTTGACGGCTATAGTTTAAAGCATAGTTGGCTGTTTGTAGATTGTCCTTCCTTAGGTTTTGATATGGTAACCTTGAGGCATTTACAGGCTTAGGCTTTGGTTTGCTTCCACCTGCCCACATGATATTCAGAGCCACCTCAGGCTTATGGCCTCCTGGTTTCCTTTAACACAGCTACGGGAAGTGGTATAAATCATATTAGAGGGAAATAAATTTTATGTACTGTTCTTCTCTTGTAAAGAACAGGGACAAGCAGAAAACCACTAGATTTAATTTTTCAGGGAAAAAAAAAAAATGAAACCATCCTCCTAATTTCCTTCTCTTTCCCTAGAATTACCCGAGCAATTGAAACCAGGACATGTACCATTTATGCGGGTTTGAGTCAAATTTGCTTGAATATTAAAGGACAGTCTATGCTATTTGGTAACCGGATTACCTCTACAAACATATGTTTTTGAGGGAAATTAGGTGGTGCAGCAACCAGAATCATGCATGGCTAAGATGAAAGGCAGAAGTAGAAATCTTTTCAGTACTCTCTGTTAACATTCACTCATAATTTTCCCTACAACCACTGTTGACCGACTCACATGTGCTCAATTGTTTTCTCTGTAAAATATAGAGGCCCTTTAAGAAAATAATTTTTGGTGCAAGTGATTAAGTTGTAAATCAGCAAAAAAATAAATTGTCCAGTAAAAAAAAGTTACAGAATTTAATCCTATACCATTAAGTATTAATTTTGACCATACGATTTTTAAAGTTAATGTCATATTCCATTGTATGGATGCGCTACTGGATATGGTTCAGCAGACCGTTCTATCTAGTTTAAGGAGAAATGAATTTATCACGCGGTATTAGAAAGGTTAAGCTCTTTGAGACTGTGAACTTTCAGGACGGCTTCCACTGGCCAGAATCATACAGCTAATCCCGCGAATCCGAAGAAACATTACGAATCGCAAGGTTGTGGCGGGCTGAACAATGAAGAATCCCTCGCTGTTCACAACACGAAAAACGGGCTGCCGCGCGTCCCGCGTCTAGAGATCCGTGTCCCTGACTGGTGGACCCCACACTTACGTCAAACCCTAACAGCGAGGGCGTCTGGGAAATGTAGTTTTTACTTTTCAAACTCGAAGACAGAGAATATTTTTAATAGTCTGGAATGGAAGTAAAACATTGTATTATAATCAATTGACCATTCTTTAAATTTTATATTTTTTAGGTCATTACATTTAAGTTGTTGTTATATTTTTCTCTATTATAAATTTCTACAAATGCAATCTCTGAGTCAAACAGTATGGATATTTTAGTGTTTTTTTTTTAACTCATATAATTATAGCAAAATTGCTCCTTGAAAAACCTACAACAGTTAATATTCTTTCCAGCTATTGTTGTTCCATATTGTCAATCATGATTAATGTGTTTTTTTGAAAAGAAAAATGACACATCATTTAAATACATAGAATTTCTTTAGCCAGTAATTCAATTCTGCCATAGGTGAATTACAATCCAGTCTTTATAGCAGCTGTTTCCTCAATAGTTCTCAGCATTGCATTTAAACATTATCTCAAACGATGGGAAACTTAAGCATTGTTTTGTCTTCCATGTTAATTACTACTAGTTAAATAAATAACTTTAAGATCTAATGAGCCCTATGTTGGTAGGCAGACAATCCTCTTTAGGTCTTTCAAGTGAACACCAAAGAAATTTTCTGCTTCTACTGACTCCAAAATTAAACTCAGTTGAAGTCTGCAGGCCTGAACTTAAAGGTAAGATTATGTAACTTGATTATGATGCAGCCAGATCAATTTAGGTGCAAGTGCTAGACTTGAATTGTAAGTGTCTGAATCATTATTGGTATAAGTTCTGTGTGTTACCTGTGCACAGGTCCAGGCTCTGAATGTCTTGCCTCTCAAAGAGCGAGCCTTTGTAAGGAAGAGTACTATGACTCGAGGTGAGAAGGGTCCAAAAATAAAGCTCTCATTCCATCTTCTGGAATCTGCTGAAGGAATCACTTATCTAATGTGGCTGGATAAATTCTCTGGGAACTCTCAGGTATGCACAGCAGCCAGACTGAATTGTCAGGAGCTTGGTTGATTGACTTACTATGCCTGGGCTAAAGAGCTTCCTTTTTTTTCCTAAATAAGCACAAAGACGTTTAGAGGAAGCATTAAAGAGAAGGCTTGTTTTATTCATATTTAATGACTTAGAGGGGAAGAACATATTCTAAATTCACCTTTGAAATTAGAGTATTAATTTTTCACCAGGTTAATACAAGACTATGCAAATACATTAAAAACAGCTAAAAGGCTGTTTCGAGACCATAAACTGTCATCCCTCTCCATCTAGTGGCTAAAAAGGCTAACTGAAAACAAGTTCCTAAGACTATTCTGACATTGGGTGTTAGAGCTAAATATTTTTTTGATTGTTGTTCAGTTACAGTTGTTCCGCCTTTTTCCCCCTTGCTCATCCCAACCTCGTCCCCCCAACTCCCACAGTCAATCCTCCCCATTGTCCATGCCCATGAGTCCTGTATCTGTGTTCCTTTGCTTGCCCTTTCCACTTCTTTCCTCCATTATCCCCCACCCCTCTCCCCTCTGATTACTGTTAGTTTATTCTTTATTTCCATGTCTCTGGTTCTATTTTACTCATTTGTTTGTTTTGTTGATTTAGGTTCTACTTATAAGTGAAATCACATGGTATGTGTCTTTCACTGCGTGTCTTATTTCACTGAGCATAATGCTCTCCAGTTCCATCCATGCTGTCACGAAGGGTAGGAGCTCCTCTTTCTGCTGCGTAGTGTTCCATTGTGTAAATGTACCACAGTTTTTTGATCCACTCATTTACTGATGTAGAGCCAAATATTTAAAAAGACAACAGTAAGTGTTGTTGTAGTAAATAAACCTCACCACTGTTTTGTTAAATTTTAATATAAATAAAAACCTTATGTAAAATAATCCATGATTGTAATTTGATATTATGTCAGGTCATCTAATTTTGAAATTAAAACAATGCCCTTGCTGGATGATAAACAAGAATATTCATAAATACAGTCTTTTTCTTGAAAGCATTTTTCTTAACATTGTAAACATTTTATTATCTCAAAAATCTTATTGCTCTTAAGAAAATGCTGAATTATTTTTTGTTGCAGGGAAAAGATTTAGAGAATGTGTTGCCAATGAATCTAGAGCCAATCAGCATCAGAATTGGGTCATTGGGCAGGAGATTTTTGGTACAAGGACTTTGCAGTTTGAGGATATTAATTAGGATAAGATGGTTCACAAAACTAGCAAAGGTAGCCGATAGGCCCGAAGCTAGGCGGACATTCAGCTCTGAGCCTATGTAGGTAGTTATGGTGGGCATCTACCTGTTCCAATATGTTCAAATTCTATTTGGATTAATTGGTGTCCATGCTACCTGGTAATTAAACCACTTAGATATAATTCTAGATCATAAGGGACACAGGAACTAATAACAAAGTAGGAGGAATGCAAGTACTATGAAAAGAAAGTAAGCAAACTAAGAAATCTTTAAAAGAGGAAGCCAAATGATTGAACCAGATTGAAAAAATATTTTTAAAAAACATAATAAATTACTTTAGAGAACTAAAGGAGGAAATTGGAAACCTGAATCAAAAAAATCAATTATGAAGGACAAATTGGAGATACTGAAAATGAAAATTCTAATAGATGAAATAATGGAGTAAGTATACTATAAGATATACCTTACAACTGTATTATGCATATGTTTCTTCAGAATAAATCCTCTTGAAAATCAAAATAGTGAGCTGAAAGATCAGGTCAGCGAACACTTCCAGAAGGAATTAGGAAGGGATAACACGCTAACTAAAAAATGAGAGAAAAGGCAAGGCATAATGACAGAATATTGCAAGACTAAAGAATGATATTAGTATTTAGATGGAAAGAGCATAGAGAAAGTGTTAGGAAGAGATTTTTTTAAAGCCAGAATCTTTTATCCATTAATTATATGTAGGGCTGAAATAAGTTATTGTAGGTACCTCAGAAGGCTGACACACTAAGATCCTATTTGAAAACACTGGTGGAGGAAGTGTTGGAGCAAGAAAAGGAAAAACTCCAGGAGGTAACTAGATGTGGAAAGTGTGAAAAAGCAAAGCTTTACATCATATTTGGATCAGAAACTGCTGGAGGTATCTTTAATACAAACAGAGATCCCACCGAGTACATACGTGTCACACATGTCATATGTATTGTTGAATTTATTGGAGGAAGAAAGGCCGTAAAAACCTCCCACGAGTTTATTTACAATATAAGTTAAATGTGAAAATGCACTATTTCCTATAATCAGAGGCAATATTTAAAATATATGACATCTAGTACAGCACATGTAACATCTAGTACTGGCCAATCAGAGCAAACATCAGCCAAAGTGCTGGAGAGGTCCCAGGAGACTCCTCTTAACGCTCTTTACCTGGGGATTATGAGTACCTTTGGGATGGGCTTAGATAGTGGGGAGACCCTGGGGTAGGGTTCAGGGTAGCTTCTATTTACCAACGGATATGGAATTGTTCAAAATTTTAGCAACTGGTACAGTCATATATACTGGCAGAATAGCAAAATGCCTTCATGTTTGATGACATGCAATTTTCTGAAACATGCTTTACTTGTTTTTCTAAAGCAAACCTATATTCCTGAGAGACTAAGACAATCTCTATAGTAAAACAATTTGGCATATCAGAGAGTCTCTTCTTTGCATTAAAGTTAGAAAACATAAGTAGAAGATACTCTTACAATAAAAGAGAGAGAATAATCGAATATGCTCTTACACAAGAAATTTTTCTGATGTCACCTTGCAAGGTTTTTCAAGGGGCTTACTAGGTTATAAATATTCAGTACCATTTCCTTTACTATATTTTAAAGAGAGGTGATTTAGAACATGGAACCTTTTAAGCAAAGTTAAAAAAATCTAAAGGATAGTTTCATCTCATTGCAGACCTCAGCTAAATTGCAGGCTGGAGCTAAACCCAATAGATCTCAGCCCCAACTTTCAGCAGACAGGTCTGCAAGCCCAAGAGTGAGAAATAAACGTTCGTTGTTACATCATTGAGCGGTGCAGCTTGTTACATAACAAAAAACATTCTTTTGTTACTTGTGCATTTATTCATCATTCATTTGATATACATTGAACATCTGTGTGCTAACCATTGTTATAAAAATCTAAAGCTAGTTTTTCTTTTTAAAAAATTGATTAGGCAAGCTTCTGACAAAACTTATCATAAAAAAAAAAGCTAGGTGTAAATAAATAACAGCATCAATGAAGGTTGCTTCCTACTGTTGAAACAGAAAATATACAAATACACAGGGAAAACCAAATGGCTAATAGGGAAATAAAAAGTTATTTACCTATACAAGTCATCAGAGAAATACAAATTAAAACACCAATTAGAACATCTAGGGTAAGGATGTTGGGAAGTAAGAAACCTCTCATCCTGCTTAAGGGAAGGTATACTGGTTCAACCATGCCAAAGAACAACCTGGAAATACTTGATAAGTTAAATATACTTTTACACTTTATAGAATATAGCCATTACATCCTAGGTCTCTTGTGCATGTCGCTAAGAATATTTTATACAGCACTGTTTGTGGTAATTATAAAGCTTAGACGTCCCTCAGTACAAAAATGGAAAGTAAAATGGGAGATAGAAACATAAGAATGTTCTAGATTAATATATAGCTAGGTGAATATTAAAATATCATGGCAAGTGCAGAAAAAAACAAACAATATGAGATTTATAAAAGAATATCTTTCAAGGACATTAATGCACACACCCAGAAAACATTACATTTATTTTTAAGCATACATATATATCTAAATAAACATAGAAATAAAGACTGGAAAGACATTACATACAAAAGTGTGAAAAAGAAATGAGGATGAATGGAAAAATAGTAAAATAAAAGCATAAAAATAAAAAAGGCATTGGACAGATGCTTCTAAGGTGCTATGAAGGAGTGTGATTAATTCAGTTTTGTGCCTCTGATAGTCTAAAAATAATAATACATGGTAGAACCTGGAGTATGGGGTCTAGAGTAATTTGAGAGAGAATATGAAAGTCTCTAAGCACATTGAATTCTCAGGTTTCTGATGATCTCCTGCTCTTAGAGAAAGATAAAAAATATCACAGTAGTTACATCGTAATTGTTTTGGTTTGGCAAATGATAACAGGATAAACTATTAAGCTCCTATCGACACATCTATTTATATTAATTAACATAAATAGAAAATATATTTAAAAAGAAAATGATGTGCCATGTTCATCAAAAACTTCACCTTTCCACGTGACATTTATTGGGATTTCTTTTCATAGTGGAATTTCTTTTGCAATTATCTTGTTAATTGGTATAATGTGGTGCTTAAATTTATTCATAGATTTTAATGTGATATCATTAGAAATTACTTCAATTGAAGTCCCATTATTTTATCTTTAATTATCATTAATGGCCTTGAATGAGGTTTATCTTTGGAGCTCAGTGCATCTCAGAATTATCTGTCTTGCACTTACCCTGTGCTCTGTGTTCTTATTGTCTTGTTTCCTTTGAATATTCACAAAAAACAAAACAAAACAAAACAAAACAGAGGCAATGTAGTATACAGCAGGGGAAATGGCTGAAATAGTACTTTCTTAACTGTTGAATGTGAATATTAAAAGGATATTCTGCTTCTATGTAGAACATTTAATTATATTCAGGATGTTTGTTCATCACTAGTTGCTCCTTAATTCATGGTGCAGTGAATATTTGTCATGAGGAAAAATGCCAGCTTTGTAGCTCCGGGAATCTAAAGAATGTCTTTGGCTGCTGATTAAAGTGCTTTTAAAAAGTTTAAAGAGTATATGTGTTTTGTAGGGTGAGAAAGGATAGCCATTACCATTTGAGAAAGAAAAAGCTTACTTTATCACTCCGAGTGATGATTACA